CATAAACCCACATAGATAGTCACAAAATATTCAATATAGATGTAGTATTTACTTGCTTTTACGCATTTAAAGTGCTGTCTGTAAACGGACGAAGGTCCTAACACTCTTACGAGCGCCAAATGATTGTCGAGAAAAGAGGGGGTATTGGTTCAGCAATGGATGAATGCCTGCTAACAAAAAAGAAACTTATATGTGTGTATGAATGTGCACAGTAGTAGCCGCCCGAACCGCAGGGCCGCCTGCCCACAAGAACCGTTGAACACCGGCCTGGAATGCTAACCGAACCGAATCCTCATTCCCGGGTTTATTCTCACGGAATATTCCCATTCCTCTCCTTTTCCCCTTCCCCAGAGCAATTCTAACTCCCTGATTTACTCCCCTAACGCAACTCCATTTGAGATCAAAGTACGTTACGGGTCGTAGAGATATCCCTAGTGCTTCCTGAACAACCGTTTAGTACCCCCGACTTTGCCCATCTCGCCGAACTTCGTGTCTACTCGTTGCTCTGGAGGCGGTACGCGATCGTTACTAGCGATGCGGACCTTCTCCTTCACACTCTCGACCCAAGCTCGGCTTTCGTCACTCATATCTACGCGTCTCCCTTTCGGACCCGCCAGACCTAGAGCGCTATCTTCCTCATCCCATTCTATACGCGACGAGGAGCGCGACCTATTTGATATTTCCGAAGCTGGAGTTTCCGCATCTTTTGGAAGACTAGCGAACGGTGTATTTGGAAAATTTAACGGGGCCCCTTCGGAACCCACGCTCCTTCTAGTTTTGCGGATTGCAAGGGGTGAAACCGGAGAACCCATAGAAGAACTAGGTCGGCTTGCTGGACTTGACCCTGTTGCAGGGGGCGCGGTTGGTAGATCCTTGATATCTACTTTACTTTCGCCTCTAGATCGTGAGCCATGATGTATTGCGTACTCCCGAAGGTATTCGCCCAGGTCAGCCCAGCCGCCACCGATTCGAACCATAACCCTCTCCCCGTTCTCTCCGACACTACGGACTAGTAACTTGAGCGGAGGCTCGCCCGTGGATCGCGACAAGTGGTAGACTCTAATCCCTTGGCTGCTTTTTGACCTTGGGCGAGGCTCTTTCGCTGGAGTTAACATGAACGAAGGAGTTGCACTCCGAGAGAAGGATGGAGTTTCACCACGTGAGGATAGTCCAGAGTTGCTTCGGCGTGTACCATTTGAGGTTTTGGGTTTAGACTGTGAGGGGTACTGAAAGTCGGGCGGATTCAGATTGACGCCGGGTGTCCTCTTAAGACGGATCTTAGCCGGGATGGATTGGAGGAGATCGCTAATCTGTTGCTGAAGGTGTTCATCCTCGCTGAAAGTGCTCATACGGCCTGGACTACCGGGTTGGCTATCATATTCGAACAAGCCATCGCCGTCCATGATTACAGATGACTCAATGGGGCTCCGGGGTGGAGTGCTACTAACTTGTGGCAAGTGAGCAACCTCAGGAACATCCTTAAAAGTAACCGAGGTAGACCGAGTCTTGTACCGCAAGGGTGGGGAGCTAGGTGGACTCATTCCATCACTCGAGAATGGCTCATCGGGGTCCGGTAAACGTGGTAGATCTGGCTCCATAGATCCCTCTCTGAAGGACCCATTATCAGAGTGACCTAGAAAGACGCCACCGCTGGGGGAACCATGTATGACAGTAGAAGCGACAGACCCCATGCTGCCCTTCCGTTGTTCGAACCGGGCTGGAGGCAAATCGGGCTCTTCTCGTTCCTCATCCACTGCTTCTAGAACCGAAGGCTCCAGAAATTCAAGATCATCGTCAAGTAAAGTTACTCCACCCTCGGTAGTTGCGTTGGGCTTGTTAGGTTCCTGGGAATGGCTGCGAATAATGTTACGATTAACTTCACCCAGTACAGGACTAGGCTGGCTGTTCCCCGTTCCTTGCCTGTTTTTAAATTTATCTTGTGCTTGACCTCGAGGCTGTCTGCCTTGAGGAAGACGTGCAGTACTAGGCAGCGCACCGGTCGACTTAGCCGTCGGGATCTTTGGAGGCCGTCTGTCGTGAGAACCATCGTAACTGAAGCTCTGTCCCCTGAGCATATTTCTCGAGTCGATATCACGCTGAGATGTTACGTGTCTTGTTGGATCAAAGGTTTGCGAAGCCGATCTACGGATAATTTTACTTCGTTCCTCGGTCAAGAGTCTCACCCCACCGTCCCTTCGGGAAGAAATCGTAGATCTTCTTCTCGATAGGTCGGGGTTGGGCAAGCTCGGCCTTCGTCCAGGCCTAATTGCCGGAGAGGGGTCGAATGGCATCGGAGGCGAGGCAAACTGACTGACATCAGATTCCTCTAGCCTAGTCGGACTTGGGCCATGGACCTTGATCTTCGGTCGGGGAGTTTCCGGCCCCATACGAGACCCGTGCGCTGGTAATCCCTTAAATGAGCCAGGTATCTCGTTCTCCCGAACTTTCCGCTCAGCAGTTGTTTCCCATGAAGCATAATCTTTCTCGATTGCTTCCATGCGGTCCAACCACTCGTCCGGTAAGGTATCTGTTGATCCTTCCAGAGAATCAAGCATAGAGTCTAGGACTTGGCCTGGTTTCATTATCTTCTTCTGTATGACACCCTTTATGATCTCAAACTCATTTCTAGTAAGTCGCCGGGGTTTCTTTTTTAAGTTATCAGGTCCGGCCGAACTTGCAGGACGTGACTCGGCCGACTCGATGGCGCTCCAGCCGGAACGCAAAGCCATCTTGGCATCCGCCATCATAAAATGTAAAGACGGTACTTTCCTTAGGACGACAAACCGCACGGTCCACATGTCTAACAGTCTCGACAGTCTAGATAGGCAAGGCAGGGCTTGTACGATGATTGCGGTAACAACCGCAGTTAAATCCTCCATCTTCGAGAACATAAGAGTGGACGTGAGAGAGCGGTCGCCTTCGAACAGAGGAGTGCCGGGTCGCGAAAGCGGCATAATATGATTATGTAGAACTTGATTCTTAATCTCCTCCAGATCTAACTCGGCTAAGTCCCGTTGTATCTTTTCGACTCGTTTCTCGTATCGGTCTACATCGGCGGCAGGTAGACTACCAAGGTAACCTCCGTCAAAAAGCAAGCCAGATTCCTCCAACTCGTCGTTGGAATCATCTCCTGGCGTCTTCGGGTCGGACAGGTCCTTGCTCTTACCAGAGGGCATCTTAAAACCGGCAGAAGAGCTATCTTTAGGCCAAGGCCAGCTAGAGAGCTCATCGTACCACTCGTGTATCTTCTGGGAGGCGGTCGCCGTTCTCATCGCAAAGGCTTGCTCGGAGGCTGAGGCTCTGTCCATACATTGTTTTAAAGCTCCCGTAGGAGATTGAAGGGCATCGACTGCCGCGAGGGGTGTAAGCTGGGAAAGCAAGTCGTCACTGGGACGAAGCGAGTTATGGGTTGGCGACTGTGATTGCGACTGGGAGCTCGAGCGAAAGTGTCGTCGAACGGCGCCCCTTGAGCCGGAAGGCGTAAATACTCGCTGGTCGGCCATTTCTGATTGCTGTGTGTTAGTATCCGAGATTCTGTGCGCGGTACAGCTTTTCGAACCGGCATTTCCAGCTCAAATATGACCTGTCGATACTGATAGGCGTAGGTGCGGAAAAGTTAAATTCGGTCCTCCATGACGGGAGGAGTTGGTAATGGCAATTGAGTTTGTCGTTTGTAAACTTTCATCTCCTTCTACTCCCAGCGTTTTACAGCCAAAGGACCTTGTTCGCCTTGCCACCTTCCCGTAAGTTCCTGTTGGTGACACGAAGCAGGGGAAACACCTAGACCGGTCACTGCGATTCCAGAGAGCCGGCAGGTTTTTTCGAAGGGAAAGTCTCAACTTCTTCGGCTGCCCGCAGGAAATATCAAGCAACGTAGCTCAGGTGGATTGGTCTCAGATAGACTTAAGTTGGGGCGATGGCGATTGGTGATATGCGCGACAGGTGGGTATGCGACGTGTTCAAAGGAGCGGCGGGATTACGCAGAGATGCAGTGATGGAGTAATGCACATTTACTTTACATAGTATAATAAGAATAACAAGGAAGTGAAACAATGACCTAACAGACGACTTGGGTGAAAGGGAAAAGCATAAAATAGAAAGAGAAGCGAATGAAAGAAATTGGTCTGTATAATGTAGGACAAAAGAAGCTCGGGAGTTGAATGCGAAAGAATTACAATTACGACTTCGCGGAAGTACAGCGGCAAGGCGGGAAGTACAGCTCAATTCTAATTGGACGAGTTTCATGTGGGCAACCACATCCAACCACATCCAGGTACTTTTTGGCTATCAATACAAAATGTGGAAACAGCGAGCCGCCGGGCAACCATTATTAGCTTCTTATAGCTTCTTAAGCGCTAAAAGTCTCATTAAACTCATTTGAAAGAAGCTTAGACCAAGTCAATTTTAGTACACTACGACTTGCTATCTCATTAACCCTTGTCAACTTTGAAATGAGGTACGCCGAGACATCTCCCAGATAATTTCCTCATTGTCGGGACTTATAAAGATCACACACAGTATGGAATACGTAGTATACATCTTACAAATACACAATTAGATACAAGTGATGGTGAGGCCTCTCTCATAGGCTATTAGGTATTTATGATTACTTTTGCTTCATATGATAGAAATACGCGTTTACTATTGACAATAATATTCAACTCTATACACTACGTACCTAGGTACCTTAGGTAGGTATGCACGAAATATCTATGTACGTCAAACTACGCGATACCATCTTGAATATCATCACACTCGGATCTCGTAGCATTTCGCTGCAGGGAAGTAAAAAAAGATGATGTGCAGCAGCCACCTTGTCCATCTAAGAGCCACACCGCAAGCTAGGCCAATTTATTTATGAGCCTCTTCCGCGACAGGGTTCTACATCTGTAGTACATGCCGTCGGGTCTATCAATCAGAGCAATAAATATATACGGCGTACGTTGATGGACCATCACATATACGACATATCGTGAATTACATTTTGGGAAGAGAAAAAGCGCAAGGAAGACATGTCAATATATTCATTCAACTACCTGTCATTATACCTATCGAGTCCATCCCAAGTCTATCACGAGTGAGCTCACTCCTCTTCCTCCGCTCCACTCAATTCCATACTCATCACGGGTATAGAAAACGAAAAACGAGAAAACAGCAAGCCAGCATTATATACAGCTCCCCTAAAACCAGGTAGAACTTTTGAACCCCCCTCCCCCCACGTACCCATCCAACGCCCGTCCCATGGAATTACCTACCATGCATGTCCATATCTATATAGGAAGACGGTATGTCGAAATCCCGTAGTTAACGCCAATAACCCAACGAGTAGGTAAAGTAAGCCTTTCGTCGTCGCTACGACTCAAGACGTCAAAAATTCATCGCGTTCGTTAGCTATGTCCTTATGAAACGACGCCCTGCCCGGCATTCTCGAAGCCGAGGTTGAAATTTGCCATGCCGTCGATATCGCTCATCGTGACCAGGCCGGCGGCGCCCATCGCACCGCCTGCCCGCGTGTTGCCCATGCCTTCGCCGGGGAACTGTAGCCACTGGTCGAAGTCGATGTTAGTGCCCGTAAGCGCGTTCCAGTCGAATTCGTCGTGGTTGTCCAAACTGTCGAAATCCATTTCTATGTCCATAGTCGCAGCGTGTCCATCCGATGATCCGCTCGCGCTAGGTGTGAGCACGTCCTTCTCGGTATGTGGGGGCGAGTGGACTGCAGTGGTGATCAGATCTGTAGGTGGCACGAACGGTTGAGGCGCAGGTTTCGTGAATAGGCTAGCCTCCTGCGTCGTCGCATACGGTGCGTTCTCTGGTGGAGGCGTGGTCATGTTCTCGATTACCGACGCGGTGGCCGGGGTGGTGAATTGCGCCAAGGGCGTCTTGACATTGGTAGTCCCCATAACACCGTTTGCGTAGGCTTGATTCTGCGCTACTTGCAGATCAATGGCTGCCTTTCGCAATGCGGCATCCAGGAACGCGACTGCGTAGTCCGCAGCTGAATAAATGTCGCGTAGCTTTTCCATAACCTTCATACACTGCTTGAAACCTCGCATCGCAATATCGCGAGGTTGTGGTAGCGGGTTCTTCATCTCTAATAAGTGAATGATCATAGCAGGAAGAATCACAGTGACACCAGTAGTCGGAAGGTACTTCTCAAGTCGTAGGGTATGCAAGTCGGTAACCATGCGCGTGATTTGAGCTGCCGCTTCACGGACCCTGGTCCGGGAGATCTCTTGAACTTGAGCTGACGTCTGGGGTGCATGCGTCGGAGATGACGGGAGAAACTGTGGTCGGTGAAGAGCTGATATAGTCGTATAATACACCATGTGTAAAAGGTTACGCTGTACAGCGACCGTTGCGCGACCGTTTTTCAGGTCCAGCGCTGATAGGGGTCTATACTGGCAGCAGACCGGAAGTGATTGTACCCATGCGAGGAGCTCCAAGTCGCACGAATTAACACCCTCCACGTTGTCAAGCTGCTTGTTAGGGAATAACATCATCGTGCTGTTCGTGGTGTTCTCAGCCCTCGACTTGTCCCTGATGAGGACAGAGTACTGCGCTTTCAACATGTGGCTGATACAAAGACAAAGCTTTGCCTTTGCAATGCACATCAAGGCGAGCTCTTGTTGCATCACAACATCCCGCATTAGCGTACACTCGGGGCCGATGATTTGAACTTCGTCGGCGAGCGGCTCGATCTCGAAGTCGTTTTCATCTAACATCGGAACGTCGAAGTCCTCATCCTTTATCCTTGTCGGTCGCCGCATACCTAGGGCGATCAGCCTATCTCGCATAAAGCACGACCACCATATTCTCTTCCACAGTTTTTGTTTCCTCGGCGTCATGTTCGTGTTAGCTGGGTTCCTGTGTAAACCGATGGTGTGCGCTAGGGAGATGGCGACCCCCATCCAATGCCACGTGTCCTTTTGATCATCCGGCGTCTCGTACCAATATGTCATCAGCAAAAGTCCTTGTACGAGGACGAGACGGTCACTCTCGTAGTCGAAGTCGTAGAGAAGCTAGATATGTTAGCAACTGTATATAAGGGGATCATGAATAGTAGTCTTACCCTAGCCTTATAGAAGAACTCCCTCCGAGCAGCCTTCCTACTGGTGTAACCCGCGTCTTTCAGATACTTCACATCAACGAAGGCAGTCGCTGCGAACATAGCAGACTGGTACAGGAACAAGCTGATCTGACCATATTGACCATCTCGAGCATTGATCATACTCAAGAAGTCATGCAGCTCTATGAGAGGCATGTAAGGATGAACATACTCTACGTACGAGGCAAGCAGGGCATTCTGAAGGCTAAGGCTTGGGAGTGTGAGGGCCCCCTTAGTGTGAAGGTAGGTCACATCTTCAGGGGCTATCTTGGCCGGAAGAGGCCGGATGAAGGCTGGCAATTGCGAGGACGCATCGGGCTCCTCGAGGGAGCTGAGGAACTGTGCGGTCCTCGAGGCCCCCGTACCGGTAGCCGAGCTCGAGTTCTGACACGTGTTTGGATTCGGCCAGATACTGGGGTACCTTGATCCAGTATTGCTAGCCTGGAGAGTAGATAGCAATACAGGGTCAGGCCGTAAACCTGATCGTTGATCTGGAGCACATGTCAGTCCTCGTGATCGACTAGAGGGATGCTTACTGCGTTCCACAAGGCTTGACACCTTGCTGATAGGTTGATGCATATTTGCATGTGAAAATCCGGAGGTCCACACTCATGACTTACATAGCAAATGAGGAACGTGACTCTCCAAGCCATTATCCAAGATTCCCCCTGGAGTAGTTACATCATTGCCAGACGTTGAAGATTGAGCTGCTTCGCTAGGGGGATGCAATGGAGCTGCAGCCGAAGCGATTGCGACTGGGTTTGCGGGCTTCGCTCTCAGCTGTGCCTCGGCAGCCTGCGGGGCTACACTGCTATGAGAGGCGGTTGATGAATTCGAATGAAAAAGGTTCTTTCTGTTGTACACAAAGTGACAGGGATTGTAAGCTTCGCCGCACCAAAAAGTAGAAACGTGGTTTTGGAGTATTTTTTTTAGTATTTTTTTTTCTGGAGCTGAAAATAAAACAATATTTGGAGAATGACGCAATTGAGATCGAATAATGAGATACCAACGATATGAATTGGAACATGAATTTGTAAATTTGTAAATTCACGAGATAGGGGGGAAATATGATAACTCACCTCCTACGACGACTCTCCTGTACGATGCATTCGACGTTGTCCCATCTGCAATTGCCGCACGGAGCCCCTTCGACCACATCACACCTAACTTTTCGGCTCCTACAGCTGATGCAGGCCCTCGCCGCTCTCCGCTTAGTGACCTTAGCCGAGCCATTGGGTTCCGAAGTCGACGCTGATCGCTTTTTTGACTGTGAATTCGAATCTGACGAAGTTTCCTTGTCTTCCGGCACCGGTGAGGGACGGTCGGTCATGGTGATGTTTGCCGATTCGTCGGCTTGTTGTTCGGGTGAACGGACCGGGAGTATGTCTCCTATCGCCATCTTGTAGATTCCTTTTTCCAACGAGACGAAAACTTATAGTTGTTGCTGGTAACGGGAAAGTGTAAGAGAAGCTGTCTTTTGAAAGACCCGCGTTATCCTAGATGTCTTAGACAAATTTCGGTGTAAAAAAGTTACGAAGACGTATTGGAATGTATAGGTCACGAGGTAGACGGTGTCTTGTAAGTATAAGCTGTAAGCCGAATCTGATAGTCGATATTTGCGTCAACGAGACTACGGGGGAGAGGATTCTCTCTCCCGCCTCTGACTTCCACACCGAACGACAACTAGGAAACGGGACTCCAGGATTATCAGCAGCATGAGAAGAAGTTTTAGGGATTAGGAATTTTAGAATTAACAAGGAGAAAGAAAAGACGGGTGGATAGGACGGGATTGTGTGGAGGTGGATATTGGTGGGGGGGATTCATGGTATTATGTATATTCCATTGTTACCACGAGAGTACATACTACCAGACTAATACCACGATTACCACCGGTCATAAATGAATGCCTCTCTGGGAAAAGTCGCCGCTCCACTAGATTCCCGATGGGGGCTCATACACATCGTAACTCGGGGTCTAATATCCTGCATGCAATCCTGGTGAAAACCTAGCTTCGCGATCTCCATAATAAGTGTTCGCGTGCGTCTCCTATCATTGGCTTCGGCAAGGAACGCTTTCGTGAGACTAACGTTAGAAGGATAAAACGGGATTCTCACATGCCCACATCTGAAGCAATTGGTAAGGCGTAGCCTCGTCATCCTTGTGACCTCTACAATTTCTCTAAACAGCAATAGCCTGGCTTAATAGAAGGGATATGATTCGTTAACTACCAAACTAAGCAATACCTACATCATAACCCAGTATAATACATTTATGGTACCTACATAGTATATACACTAACAGCCAGCTGGCCATGGGTAATCTTACCCTATGGAGTCTGGGGAGTTGATTCCTTTTCCGATTCTTTTCCGTATAACCCCAGCCTTGGCCTTCAGGATCATGATCGTAAAAAGCTCCCCAAGTCTAATTGGCGTGAAGCAGTCAGTCTTGGAATCTGCGGAGCAACCAATCATTGATATAAACTATAATAATACCAAGTCGCCGGTTCTCTGCAGTTATTGATTGCATCACGTTGCTTGGTTTCCTAGTCTGAAGGCGGCTTAGCTGACCACGATCTCGAGTCAGTTTGGCGGGGAAGAGAGAAAGGTATTTCTACATATGGAATTGATGTCCATCAAGGTGAGATATGGTTGTCAGCTTTTCACCCATTGGGCAATAGTTAACGAAGCGATCAGGACGTCTATGTAAACGACTCGAATGCAGATTTTAATATTGATAATCTTGATATAAGTTGCTAGGAAAGTGGCTCAAGCACTTGCGAGGGTGCAAGAAAAGATCCATAGCACATATCACAATCTCAGTCGAATTCGAGAAAAGGGATAATACATACATATTCATCCCAACTGGCATCTACATAGCAGATGTACCCCTGTCAATAATGAAGACCTGGGCATGTACGACATACACTAGGAAACAGACACGATCGAGGGCCGTTCGCCCGGTCTACGAATGATCTGTGTGATCCTAATGCAAAATGCAAGCCGCAATCGCAAATAGGTGTAATTCGAATTGCAGCAACATACAGAATCTAGGCGGTAAATACCGGGACAGCAAAAGACCCTACCTGCCTAACGTACATAGAATTTCAGGGGTATTATCGGTGTCGACCCCGTCACCGTCGCGGTGTACAAAAGGTATGTACACAACGCACTAAACTCTTTTGTTCTGTCATCATCAATGTCGCATGCGGCCAACCCTAAGCCAAGTGGACCTCGTGTCCTATGAGACTGTATTCATTAAAAAAACGTTGGCATCCAAGAATCCGCCATGTGTCTTTGGCAGCTATGTATGTACTCTGTAGGACTCCAGTTTGGGCTTCAACTAACTAGCGGGAGAAACCGGTCGAAATTCTAGATTTGTTAGAAAAATAATAAAAATAATAAAAATATCCAAATTACCGTCAACCGTGTTCGGAGACGAGTTGCAAATCTGAACAACGGCATTGACGGGTTGTTTGCCATTATGCAAATTCTTTTTTAGATTGAGACGTGTATTGCAGATTGTTCTACAATATGGATAGAAGACAACAGGATGTAGTGTACATAGTAGGATGTGGTAGGAATGTGACGTATCAAAGATGAAATTTCTGTAAGGTCACGATCTGTCTTTGGATTTGTTATGGCAGGGTGACACAACCCAAAAGATAACCAACCAAAAGTAACCAAAAGCCGGAGCTTCCAGTACCTTATCGAAGGTACCTAAGCTTCGTACCTGAAATGTAACTTCGAGGACTTAAATAAGTCGGCATAAAATGTAACTGCGAAAGCGGGTCAAATATCTCCCCAATGAATTAGCACTTGCATCTTTAAAAAAGCGGGCTGAAGGGCCACGCAAAATACAACGATACAATGGTACCTAAATGTACGTACTCCGATCATTTACTCATCATTAGCCTCACATTACGTAACCCTGCAAGTTCTCCACCTTGGTGCATACTAAGCGGGTGCATATCAGGACTAGGTGCCCCACGCCGTGTTCCGCCGCTTTGTCCTTTCACCAGTCGGACTAAAGGCGTTCCTCTTTCAACATTTTGACTTATACAGAGTATAATATTGACGGCATAATCTCCTGATATTTGAAAGAACACCAAAGAATCTTTACCATACGGATTACACTTGTCATAACAAAGGACAGAGATGAAAGACTAGGCAACAGATCGAGATCTTATTCCCCTCCAGGCGTCCGGTGCCAAGCTCTAGGCCTCCGGGCTGGATCGTGGCTGTGAGTAATAGCTACTTGGCTTCCACATGGTTGACACACCGGCAGACCGGACGGCTTGAATAGACAGACGGGTCAGCACGGAATCCAACAAGAACTATACGATCATCCGAACAATACATACAGTAACCTAGTCTCGTCTCGTGTTTAGTCCTTGCGACTGCAACGGAATTTCAAGTTTCAGCAATTAGTATATGTAGTTACATGGTCTATCCACTAGCAGCTTTGGAATCCCTGCTTCAGGTATTATTAAACGATACTAACCACATATTTGTAAATGCGGAGAAGACCATGTAAGATAATAACACGCCTACTTCATGTGATCGTTGGTTAGGAGAGGTTGAATATAATTGTGCTGATCCTTAGCTATCTAAGTAAGCATTTGCCCGTATAGTGTTTTCATCTCTATACTCTCATGGTTCTCCCCTCAAACTAGAACTATAATCGGGAGGCCTAGGGATCGGAGCAATTGCCATTTCATCCTTAGGAACATATCAAAATCATGGGGTGATCTACAGTAGCCGCCTAAGGTTAGATTACTCCGCATGGCATGGCATGGCAATGGGGTTGAAGCTAATCCCAAGAACGCTCTAGTCGAACTCACGTCTTCATATGCCAACTCCAAGGGTCTGGGTTTGTTGGCCTGGACTCTGGGGCCCCGCAAGATTCATGTTAAAATCACCCTCTCGCCCGTGCCAACAACTAGTTACGTATGCTGAAGACGTTCGAAGGCATGCTTACCGTTTGTCCAAGGAATTGGCAAATTGTTAACTATGCCTACAATTGACCTCTTAATAAGTCCTTCCCAGAATTGCCATAACACCAACGGATGTCTTGAATTGGTATCCCGCATAGAATCCTTTTCAGCTCGATGCAAAAATCCAGGAAATCACGCCACCTCTCGCTGGATTGTAATACCTAGTTCTTGGAACATCTAGACCTTGAAAACTTTGCCTTGTTGCCATAGAAGCAACCCATCTTCCATTGTGTTCTTTTAAATCTGCATTTTTCGTTTAGTCACTTCTGATCGCTGAAAGTTGCTCGAAGGGTCAAAGGAAGACTTGGACTAGAAATCTGTAACTGTTAGAACATAGGTAGGTAACTATAAGCATGACCGTATAGATTTACGTACTAGCAGGCCGCCAATGCCAACCCCAACCGCACCAATGAGAGCGAACTTAAAACTTTTGATGGTTATGCCAAGGCTGGGTTTCTTATAATTCGCCTCTGAACCGATATGTCACAGACGCCCAAATCTGGGGGAGCACAAGCTGTAACATGTATGTATTATATATAATTAGAAAAAAGAAATGGAAGTTGATGGTGGGGTGAGTTATGGCGGGGTCATTACAAGGTTGATGATAGACATATAAGTAGAAACTTCATACCGCTACGGTTGAACGCACTCGAGCTCTTAATGAATATCACTTTCATAATACTCAAGACTTACGGTAAGACATAACTATGTACGAAAATAAACCAGACTCCGCTATTCCCCGACGGGTCCCCGCCGGCGTGTTGTCTGCGGGTCTCTCAGGCCGAGACTCGGCGTGTTGGGAGGAAAAAGAGGAATCCCGAGCCATTACCGGGCCTTGCAGATCTCCAAACGGGAATAAGCAGGGAGGTAGGTAACTCAGATCCCTCAGCTTTGATCGATCTTGGCCCGGCTATGCAATGGGGAAAAGGAGCGGCTACCGGAGCAGCCGGAACTCAGTAATCGCCGTTTCACCACATCGTCAGGATCGACGTCGCTTTGTGAGATCACCTACGTAGGGGGCGTTCCGCGATCACGAATGGGACTTACTTACTTGCAAATAATATAAGGAATAACGATAGCTCCAGGCGCACCTGTATTGGACTTGGGCCGCCCGCGGAGACGTTGCAGATGCTCCAGAGAGCCCCTTGGAACATACAAATATGGGGCAACATCCACCCATCTTCATGCCGGTGGTAGGATACCGGAAGGAAAGGGGCGAAACGCATTATTGCTTAGTGAGTGAAGGTAACGGTGTTCAGACTGCTGTATCTCTCTCCGGCGTGAAGCCGTGGTATTCCTCAGCCTAGGACTGGTTTTTCTGCAAATAAATTATTATCTTCGCATAGGTGGACACGACGTTGGAGACCACCTAGGATCTAAATTAAATTTGCTAGGGATTATCCCGCATAAAGCTTGATATCCATCGGAGATGGCTAAAGGGTTTCGCGATACGTCCCATTTTGCGATGGATTACCGTTGTTATTTAAGATCCAGTGTCGCGTAATACCGCACTCTATGAAGTGCTACCGTAGCAGTCCGCTTGGATAAACATCGTATATAATTATGTGCGGAATGCTGAAAGTACACCCAGTTCCCGCTTTGCCCCTTACAATATTGGTATCACAACCCGCTTGATAAACAGGATGCGTGTTCTTATCTAACCGCCTATATACTACAGGCGCCGCAACATGATCTGACCCGCGGCTAGAACATCAATAATCATTGGGTCCATTGCCGTATTTAGTGCTAGGTTTGCATCAGCTGCATGTGTAGCAGATGGAAATCCCAGCTTCGTCTGGTAAACCCCTAATGGAGATCCGCTCATTCTTGGTCTTCTTCCTTGCGTATTTCCTTCCACTCTTCCTCGGTAACATGTAGCCACTGCGAAACTATAGTAGTGAAAGCCCAAACCTCGCCAGAGATGAGCAGCTTGACCACATCCAGCTGGATGATATTGAAGATTCCACGCCATGTCACACCGCCTCCAATATTCATACCCCCATAAGGGAGGCCTCTGCTACATGCAAGCGCCCGTGCAGCAATCGGGAACGCATATATATCAATAGGTAGGAAAAAGATGTTTGTAATGAAATTAGCAAGTATGTCTGCCGCAAATGAGCTAGGCAACTTGGTAAGGGGATTTACGATATAGCGAGGTGTTTCTTTGGGCTGTTGACGAGGGTCTCCCTGAAGATTTGGCCGTAGCTCCGCTGACCAGACTCCGGTAGGCGGTTCCGTAGGTTCGCTAGTATCCACGTCAAAGCTGATGAGTGTAGGATTGACCATCTCAGAGTCTTCTTCGTCGGTCCCGTAATCTTCTCCGCCCCGGCTTGAAAATGTGCTCTGTCTCCTTATTGAGCCGACCGGAACTGTTTCGCCATTAGATTGGACATCTAGAGCTAATGAAGTCGTAGCATCAGTATCAAAGTTCTGAGGTCTAACATCCCTATCAGCTGCGCCCAATGTCGGCGATTCCGGAACAGCCTGCCTCTGAGTCGCGCCAGTGGAGCCCAGGCTTCGATTGCCCGTATGGAAATTTAAAGGACGTGGTAGACGCCTTCGTATGTATAGCCTACACGTAGCGCATGCCGACTGCCAAAGAAAACCACAGATATAAAATGTAGCGTAAGGTGCCAGCCCCATAATCAATTGACCAACCCACCTAGAGACGCCTGAGAAGCTGAATGATTCAAGCGGAGGTGGCGCAACTAGTGGAGAAGAGCTGGAGAAGGGTATAAAGAACTTGGGGCCGGGAAGTAGCTGAGATGCGGGAACCAAATCTAAGCGTTGCATTGTGAGGAATAGATGTAAATGAAATCGAATATATTCGATGGCGGCAGGGAGCCTGGGAAAAAAAAAAATCAGCTTTCATCATAGATAGCCAAGGTACTAACTAAACTTACCAAGGGTTTCCGCCTTTGCTCGTAAATGCCCTCATGTACCTGGAAGTCAGCCGCAATCCATGCATAACGAGGTGGCACGGATAGCCTGCAAAGCATAACTGTAGGATGGAATGGCTACTGCGTTCCGTCTGCATCATACGAAAGAATGATACATCTGCGTGTCTTTTGTACACCTATTAGAATGTTAGGAAGTCCAAAGAAGGCCCACGTTTATTATAAGGGTATAATAAGAGTATATCTTAACTTACTAGAATGCGTCGTCGGATATTGAGAACACCCCAGGTGCCTAATATACCAAGACTTGTACCGACTTGATATAGCGTTCGTCCTGTGTCGCTTTCATATTCGTGATACTGCCTTGTCATTTCTATGTCGGCTGGGCTAGCGCCATTATTCTCAGGTTCGGCGACGCCTATGACCAACATCACCTCGTTGTGGGCGCGAATAATATCCTTGATGATCTTCTTTGTTTGGGGATTCACAATACGCCCTGTCCCGTCGTATTGCTTTTCAGGCTCATGAGGATCTGGCTCTCCTTCCCCTGTCACGACATCATCGTAAGGAGATCTACCCTATTAAATCAATGAGCTTCTTGTCGTGATACTATATTTGAGATTAGATTCAAGTACATACTAGTGCCAGGGATGTTAAGGGCTCAAGTCGTCCCATTATGCAATGAAGTTTGTTCGGTGCATAGAGAGAATTTTGCTTTAGGCGAACCCGAGATTTAATAAGAGCATTTAGGGAATCTCTCAAGTTTTAAGGAAAGACATGAGACTCGTACGTATGTATGTATTGATGAAGTTATGGAAGGCGAAGACGATAGATGAGATGTTCTTACTGTACCTGATTCAATGTTAACAATGGGGAAGCATTGACCAAGTGCTATATAAAATGCTTGGCAGGTAGTACAGGTACCTACTAGCAGCTGCTACGGTGCTAGGGGCATACTGTATTACTTGCAGGGGCGCTTGCAGGTGCATTAAGAAATCCTTATCGATATCCATCGCCGTCATAAAAATTTCCTAAGCATCCCACCAGCGAAGAGAGTGTAGGTTCTTGCAACTTAGTTATATGTTTGCGCAGTTCCGAAATGGCGAATAAGGCGCCGTTTAAGACAACTTTCGAGGCCAGCGAAGTAATTCGGCCCATTTTTACAGGTGGCGCTGTCGCATTGGAGAATGGCGCACGAATCCTCGCAACAACCCTCGGTGAGGATGCGGTCTTGACCGACATCAAGACTGGAAAACATATTACGACAGTGGAAGGGGTTAGTTTTTGACGGTTGCGTGGTTATGAATAATGGGATTTACACTGACTTCTGTCTTATAGGATGGTGAATTAATATCTACCTTAACTTGTAAGTGACATGGATATTCGTCAAGCCCAAGTGCACCATGGCTCATTACAATACAGTGACTCCTTCGGGATCCCACCTCATTATATGCTCTCGCTCGCTATCCATGCGAATATATTCTCTCAAAGCCTCAAGTGACTCGATAGAACCTCAATTGGTACGGACGCTCAAACCTCACTCGACTCCCGTCGTTGTTCTCGCCGTCGACAGAACTAGCACCCTCTTAGCGACTGGAGGAACCGATGGTTCTATTAAAGTCTGGGATATAAATGGCGGTTATGTCACACATACTTTTCGAGGGCCCAGCGTACTTGTGTCCGCCCTTCACTTTTTCGAGCTTACCGCAGGTTCGTCAAGCGCCCCGGAAAACGACTTAAAGGACAAGGAGAAAAGGAGAAAACCAAAGGGCGCGACTGAAGATGATGGGAACGATACGAGTTCCACGGCGAAATTCCGGCTGGCCTCAGGAAGTCAAGATGGAAAAGTTCGTATATGGGACTTACATAAGAGGAGTGTTGTAGCGAACCTCGACTCGCACGTTTCGGATGTCCAAAGCCTAGATTATTCACCCTCTCAAAACGTTCTGGTGACTGCCGGCAGGGACAAAACGATCAGATGGTGGGATACAAAGTCTTGGAAAGTGCGAAAGGTTGTTCCATGTTTCGAACTCGTCGAGGCAGCTGGTTTTATTGGGGATGGCCAACTCACCTATACTGCTGGGTCAAACGGGTGCTTACGCTTCTGGGACACAGAAACCGGCCGGGAACTCACAAAAGAGCAAGCGCCAAAGTCCGAGGTTGAAGCTTTTGTAGGGGCTGTTTACAGGCCAGAGTTCCCATTCGTAATCTGTGTTCAGGTCGATCACACTCTATCTCTATATGATATTCCCTCCGATGTCCACAAGCAATCCCAACTCCCGCCTCCTGAACCGTTTCGCCGAATTTCGGGTACCCACGACGATATCATAGACTTGCGGTATCTACTTCCGGACCATTCTGCGATGGCCTTAGCAACAAACTCTGAAGACATCCGGATAGTTTCGGTAACTGAGCCAAGGCCTGGATCGAAAGCTATCGTGTCTTCTGAGTATTTTGGGCAAGACATTGCTCTTCTCAAGGGTCATGAAGACATCATCATATCGCTTGATGCTGACTGGTCTGGACACTGGGTCGCTACGGGCGCTAAAGACAACACTGCAAAGCTGTGGCGAGTAGACCCGGCTAATAATTCTTATATCTGCTGGGCAACATTCCCAGGACACGCCGAATCTGTCGGGGCCGTGGCATTACCTCGAAGTCGACCGGTAGAAGGTTCAAAGGCGTATGCTGATCCATTAGGTCACCCGCCTTCATTCTTAATCACGGGGTCGTCGGATCAAACTATAAAGCGTTGGGAGGTACCTAAAGAGCCCCAACAGGGCGCAAAGGCGACCATTAGAGCTGCTTATACACGAAAAGCTCACGATAAGGATATCAATGCTATCGACATGAATCATGCATCACGCTTATTTGCCTCAGCTTCCCAGGACAAAACCGTGAAAATATGGTCGGTAGAAGAGGGAGAAGTACAAGGTATTCTCCGAGGCCATCGGCGAGGTGTTTGGTCTGTTAGTTTCGCCCCCCCTAGCACGCCCGTGCTCCAGGGCGAACAAGGATCAGTTTCTGGGAAAGGTGTAATACTCACGGGAAGTGGTGACAAGACTGTCAAACTCTGGAATCTTACAGATTATACATGTTTGAGAACATTCGAGGGTCATTCAAATACGGTCCTCAAAGTAGTATGGCTTAACATCCCTCCAAACGAAGAGCGTAGTAAAAAGCCTATCCTATGCGCCAGTGCCGGAGGAGATGGGTTGGTAAAAGTATGGGACGTCAATAATGGCGAGAACGAGTGCACATTAGATAACCATGAGGACCGAGTCTGGGCTCTTGCGGTGCATCCCGAAACGAATATGATTGTCTCCGGTAGCGGTGACTCAACCGTAACGTTCTGGAAGGATACTTCGAGCGAGACGCAAACTGCTTCTAACGAAGCAGCTCTAAAGCGCATCGAGCAGGAGCAGGAACTTGAGAATTATGAATACGTAGGAGCTTACCGCGAGGCAATCACGATGGCGCTTCAACTCAACCACCCTCGCAAGCTTCAGAATCTTTTCGAACGGGTGGTCAATTCCAAAACGGCGGATCCCGAGAGTCTTTCAGGCCTGAAGGCAGTCGATGAAGTGCTAGCGTCCCTTTCAGACGATCAGCTATTCTTACTCCTATTAAGGCTGAGAGACTGGAATACCAACGCTCGGACGGCACCGATGGCCCAGCGGATCCTCTGGGCGCTCATAAAGAGTTACCCGGCGTCGCGTTTCTCCAATCTATCTGTTAAAGGAGCCCGGGGCCAGAAGAGCGTAAAGGAGGTCTTAAACGCGCTCAAGGTCTACACCGAGAGGCACTATAAGCGTATGGAAGAGCTGGTTGAGGAGAGCTATCTGGTGGAATATACCCTGCAGGAAATGGATAGCCTCGCGCCCAGCTTAAGTAGTATGAAATTGGTGGAGAATGGTGATATGGATGTCGTGATGACATCTTGATTAAATGTAATTGTTTGAGTATACTGTAACCAGTTCGCATTTTAGGAGTTACCTCGAGACTAGGATATATTGCAAATTTAAATGGCGTTAACTTTCATTTGTAGCATCTGGCATACTGCTTAGCAGCTTGGTAACCTCGTATCATTCAAAGCGGCTTTTTACGTTGATGTAGAAGCCTTATATTTTTCCCATTACGTATAGGTAGTCCTCTCGAGCCTGCTCAAGATGAACTTTCTTTTCGTCGTGGCCGCTCGCCAAAGTAGTGTGAACTATTAACTAACTTGGGTAACCTCAAGCTACAAGAGGAGTAGTTTACTTGTGTTTTCGCTTAGCTTTTTGTGCTGTCATCTTATCATCCCATTTTTCCCAGCCGGCCTGGCATAGGTCTTCTTCCACAACGAGATCCCTGACGCGGAAGAACTTGGCTATAGGCGTATCCAATGCCCATGCTAACCAGCCCGACCGCCGTATTATAGTCGTAATAATGAACCAACCCACGGCGCTCACCACCCCGGCAGCAGTGCCTACCAGAACCTGTTTCTCGGTATGGTAGTTCAAATATACCCTACTCCACGCAACCGCAGCCGCCATGCCCAGCCCGATCGCGCTCCACCCCGCCCTCTCAAGCAAACTCATCGGCGTGTGATTCCGTTTCCTGACTCTGGGGCTCGGCGGTTGGTGTCTAAAGAGTAGAAACAGGGTTATCGAGACAGCGAAGTACGCGACGAACTGCGCGTGGCTACTCGGCATTCCATAGCCCTTCCCGTTCATGAGGCGCGGTCGCTCCTCCTTAATCAATCTCTTAAGCGCGAAGTTGAGGGCCTCGCAGGCGAGCTGGCCCGCGAACAGAAGTGCTATTTCGATCTCGCGGGTCGACCAGATCAGCGTCGCATACATGACACATAGCCCCTGGGGGATCAGGGCCAGCCAGGCGCAGAGGTAGGATATGGGGTCGGAAGGGTCCTATGAGGTTGGGGGACTCTGGTTAGCTCTAGAACGGAGTCCCGCCGGGTTGATATGAGCTCACATACATAGTGGACGTGCGTAAGCGACAGAGATGCCAGAGGCACCGGATCGTCAGACATGCCGAGCGGACTGCGGGAAGAGGCAAATCGTATGAGGTGGCTGTGAGTGGCAAACTAGATAGAGGGCTAAAGCGAGAGTAATTCGAATTATTTTATAGCAACGAATTGCTTTCGGCGCAATAGGTTTGAGGACGAGTATGCATTAAGGAGGGAATTCTGTATAACCACCCAGGTAAAATATAATACGATATGAGTGAGTGGCGTTTCCGTCTGATAGGAAATCAAAAATTGGGCTCCAGTGCCAGACTAGCCTGTCTGACGTCCAACGCTAGCTACCTGGGTCCAGATACGTAGACAAAATTTAAAGCATTTGGTAATTTCACGATGTTGTGAGTGAAAAGTCGCGACATGGAATTTACCTTGGGTCCATAACAAGGGTCTAAGACAGTTTCGTCATCAGCAAAAGCTAAAGGCGGTCAGCTGTCAGCCAGTCTGCCAGTTGGGCAGAAATGTATACGCTTAGGTAACTTTAGGTAACCTAACGGAGATAACAGGTGCGCTAAACCTCCTAAGCTCTAGCTCTATGTAGGCCTGTTAGATTTGTGTAATACTTAGGCGTCATAATAAAGTTGCGCCTTCTGCTCTTCTGCCCCTCACCTTCAATATCGATAAGGCGGTTATGTTAATGGCTGTAAGCTTCCATTAACATCTTTCTGCCCCACTGCTTCTTTTTCGCCGTCCGAGTCATACCGTCTCTCATATCGACGCCACATTGAATCCTAATCCTAATTTGTCTTTTTGTCTCTTGTCCTAATCCTAATCTGTCTCTTGTTCCTGAGTGCCTACCTAAACTTTAATAGAGAGGATAGATTTAATTTTTAGAGCCTCTAGATTTAAACGTTTTCCCGTACTTTAAAAAAACACAAAGTTCACTATTAACACAACCTCTAACCCCGGGCCTTCGAATTTGCTCAGCTTTGGTATAGAATTCGGGGTTAAGATTCGAATACTAAGTTTAGTTTCAAAGAGAATGCGGTGGCGGTGAATGCTCACATTGCCCGGCCGACGAGAGGAAATATATATTAGAAACACAAACCCATGGAGATGTCCATAAACAATCACGTCTACATACGCCTTTATGCGAACCGGTGACGTGAACCATAAGTCAAGATGGCGGAGGAAGACATTCGTCAAGTTGAACTATCCACGATAGCATCCATCTATCCCGAATTGCAGGTCGACGAAAATGACCCTTATAAGCTCTCAATCGAGCTGCCTGTGAGCTTAGCAAATCCAGTAACTGTATTGTTCCAAGATACGACTGAGGGCGCGCCTTCGGTCGAACCAGTCCAGGGCCAAATCCCAGTGGCCACAGCCGTAGATTCGCACGCCTTGTCAAATCTACCCCCATTGCATGTTGTTATACAACTTCCAGACCAATATCCCCTAGAAGAGCCACCCCGAGCTGATATTTCGATTTCACCTCCTTGGTTGCCAGGGGATATTGTACACAAGCTCGAAACCAAGGTAGCGACACTGTGGGAGGAAATCGGACGCGATCAAGTCATCTTTACATATCTCGATAATTTACAACAGTCTTCGGAAACTGTCTTTGGGTTAGTCGAGGATGATGGGCAGTTAAAAGTTGGGTTAGAACACAAGATAGAGATTCTTGACTACGATATTAAAGCCAAGCAGAGGGCTTTCGACAATGAAACTTTCCATTGCGATATCTGTCTAGGTAAGTACCAAGGAGGTGATTTACTACATACGCACATAACTAACACTGGAGACCAGATCCTCACAAGGGAAGCGCCTGCCACAAGATGCTCGATTGTGGCCATGTCTTCTGTGTACAGTGTTTACAGGCTTTTTATAACAACGCTATTACGGAAGGCGATATAGCTTCCATACGATGTCTCCAGCCAAAATGTGCCAAGGAACGGGAGGATGCTGTCAAAGGTTCCATTAGGAAAAAGAAAGCTAAGACCTTCATCAGTCCTGGCGAGCTCCTACAGATTCCCCTGGAGCGAGATATGGTCATGCGCTACATCACGCTAAGACACAAAAATGAACTCGAGTCGGATAAGACCACTGTATATTGCCCCCGATTGTGGTGCCAAGGCGCGGCTCGATCAAAGAAGCATAGGAAGCCCGAGGGGCTTGAATTCGTCGAACCGTCCGAGTCCGATATAGATGAAATCGAGGAGGACGATACGGAGGAGAAGAAATCGGGCCAAGACTTGCTTGCTATCTGCGAGGACTGTGGATTCGCTTTCTGTACTCGATGCCGACAGTCTTGGCATGGCGAATTCAAATATTGTATGCCGCAAAAAAGAAAAGACGAGATCACGGAGGAAGAGAAGGCGTCGCTGGAGTATGTGAAGATGCACACCACCCCGTGCCCTACCTGCGATGCTCGATGCCAGAAAACACAGGGCTGCAACCATATGTGTTGCTTTAAATGCCAGACACATTTCTGCTACCTCTGTTCTTCTTGGCTCGACCCTTCTAACCCGGTAAGTAGAATGCCGATATTTTTCATGTTGGACATATTCACTTGCCCCTTTAGAATGAATTTGACAGTTAGGAGTTCGGGTTTAGCCTTGGGCTTCGAATCGTACTTGACACTTGAAAATGGTAGTAACTAACACTATATATCACAGTATCAACATTACAACGTTCAACCCTCAGGCGAGAAAAACGCCTGCTACATGAGACTATGGGAGTTACATGAACTCGGTGATGGCCAAGTTGGGATCGAACACGAGGAAAATGAGGTTAGAAACGTAGCCGCTGCGCCTGGCAGAAACAGACAACATTTAGAAATTGGCCAACAGCGCATTGTTAACAGGCCTGAGGAAGCTGGCAATGAAGCGCCAGTGGCGATAGAACGCCAGCAACCGCGGCCAGGGCCCGGCCAACGCCAACTGCCAAGGAATCAGCCTAATGGAAGAGTCGCCGTAGCCCGTGAAGGACCGCTTGTACTCCGAATCGAGGGCGACGTACCGCCGGCTCAGGGTATTGCGCAACGTCGCCAGCCCGGCATTCCAAACAACCACGATGAAGTACACGCCTTCAACGTGGGTCTGCGAGGGGGCCGAGGAAATAGGAGAGGTAGAGGTAGAGGCCCCGGGGTAAATCGGCAAAACAACCGGAATCGACCTCAGGGGCAGAACCAACAAATGAACAACAACGGTCGCAACGGCCAGAATAGGATGGGCGAGGGCGATGTGCTCCGCGGAGACGGCCAACTAGATGCGAGAGGCGAAGCATGGGTTCGCCAATTCGTGCAGCTGGCACTTAACGACCAGGAAGATCTGGTTGATGATAGTGATGACGACTAGACAGCGTGGCCTTGATAGGTGCAAATCGGTTCTAGGCATCAAGCATGCGAGGCACGATATTCCTAAGATGGTAACAGCACAGGCGCAGAGGCCATTTCTCTTTGCGAATTTGGCCACACAATAGCTCGAGTGTATCGAACTCCCGAAGGGAGGTGACCAGAAGCGGACGTTAGCTGGTAGCGAATGGGGCGCCATGTTGCATCTCTAGCGGCTTCCGGCAGCTGTCACGGGGCAGATTCTGCCTGGCACGTTTAACGAATCGCTTTGTTCGTGCTAAAGTTACAGCGGGCTGGCTGAGATAGGCAGATCTCGCCGGCTCGCAATGTTACGCCGAAGTGACATTTCTGTCGATGTTTAGACCGACCCCCTTGAAAGCCCTTAACGACGACTGTCCTCCTTAGCCCCTACACTAGCGAGCTGAGCGACGGTATGGACATGTCGACTAGGCAGAACCTACGCATCAAACAGGGGAGACAGGGGAGACTAGGGAGATCGCTAATAATAAATATATCTAATATAGTGTATGTGTTGAAATACCGTAAGCACTCAAAATAACGTATGCGTATATGTGTCAGGTATGTCACGGCAACATCGCAGGAATCACGCTACACCCACTTTCGCAACAATCATATTTCTGCGACGAGATTTTCTTCGATGCGATCGCCTCCTGGTGGTGTCGATGTTACAACCGTACCGCCCGCCGCTCGTCACCCGTCTCTGCCGGAGGAGTACCTTGGAGGATTTGCTGTGCTTTGCTGTGTTGTGCTGTACTGTACTGTCTACCATACTTCTACAAAGTCTGCTTACTTCATAGTATACTCATCGACGAGTCCTCTAATTCGCATAGCTCTACCTGATACTCTTGGCATCACATCTCCTTCCATGTAGACGCCCTCCGTAATGCTTTATGTAATCTGACATGTATTGTATGTATGTATGTACGTTGAGTCGAATCACCAAATTCCAACCCCCCCTGTCAGGAGATCTCTCAAATTTTCTTCCTTCATGACTCGTGTTATGTGCGGATATCCTGGATACATAACGCGTATGTACCCGCGACGATCTGTATGTTGCTCTGCAGCTTATCATACCATTACACTATCTACCCTTACTTACATACATAGGTAGGTAGGCAGCGGCAGGGCCTTGTCGTGAGAACCCCAGACGAGCCATCTGAGTTTGTGGGGGGTTCTTGCGAAGGGAAGGGGGGGAGAAGAAGAAAGGTACGTTAGATTGGAGCGAAGCCTGGTCCCGTATTTCTCATGGCTGCTAATTGGTTGATTATTGCAGTCGAGTGGGCGAATTCTGATTCGCCTCCCCTCCTTGATTTTTTTTTCTCTTTCTTTTCTTTTCGTGGTATTTTTTCTTCTGTTCCTCTTTGGGGGAAATAGAAATAAGATCGACTTCCGTTTTGATATACATACTGCGTGCTACCTACCGTAAGTTGACCGGGGTCCTGATTACTTATTGATATGTAAACCGAGCGCGGCTGGTTTCGGTTGCTGCTATTACATATATAGGGACATAAGACTAGGTATCGCCTCGTTCTCGTATGTAATGTAATAATGCACCTAACCTACATAGGGGTAATCCGCTGGCTATTTTCTGCGACGAAATGAGACTGACGAGTACTGCTATGGTGTCCCGTACATAGGTAGCTATAATAGCGATATAAGGTCTAGTTAAGTTTTTTTTTTTTGTTGAGCGAGTGATTATATTAATATAGTAAGGATATCTTTAAATATCCCCCCCATGCGGCCCACAAGTAAATTGCTCTTTTGATGAATATGGGCAACATCCCGGGATGCCACATGCTTCACCTGCATGAGCGCAGCAGCGGTCGACTTTTTCGAGTACGGGAACATACCTAAGGGTATCAAGATTAATCAAAGCTCGAGCGCGGTGGAGGAACACGGCATCGCAACAGGCAACTCTATCAGGACTTGGTGGTGCAGCTCAATTACTATATTTGGACGGGCCAGGACAAGATTACGCAGGTTAAGTAAAGAAAAACGGGCAAGGGTAGGGGACGGGGGGGTTAAGGGTTTGGCTGCCATGC